GTACTCTAAGTTAAAGGTTTCCTTTGTGGGGAAATAAATGATTGAATCCAATGGGCTCTGCCCGCGTGGGTTCGAATCCCATCCTCGTCGATTTTACTTCAATATTTTTTGCAAAACTGTTTAGCCCCGGAAGCCTTGAACTAACTCAAAGCTTAATGTTTCTTTGTGGTTAATAAATGATTAGACCATTTCGCTTTATTACGTCTAAAAATATATGAAAGAGATTGCACAATAGGCCACGTAATGAAAAAACTGAAACACTGCAACATYGTACGTAGCAGTTGAATGCTGCTTGCATGWGACTACTCAATAAAGTGAAACTCGACTCTATCAACCCAATAGTGTGAGTATCTTTTTTGTAATGCAACTGAAAGGAACTTTCAGGGAAAAAAGTCCTTTTCGTTACGTCACGAAATGTTCAAACTTCAAATTTTTCATCAAAGCCAATTTGTTGGTCACGTTGTACGACGTGACCTAGACCTGTAAAGGGCCTATTGCCTCAGTCCACTTTACACTTTTATGGCCAGTGGATTGCTGCTTTGATTGTGGTGTCTTTCATTTTTACACCCGTTTTCTGCTTTTAGATTGTCTGCGAACCATCCCACACTGAATCATATKCCCCATAAAGTTGTCAATCACTGTCTGGCTGATTGCGTCATGTGCACAGGAAACCCAAGCGCGCAACACTGAAATGGAACAAATRACTTTTGCGATAGTGTAATTTCMGAACAGCTCTTGAGAGGAAGAAGTTTTAAGYCTACGTCCGAAAYTCAATGGCTTAGTTCATCTCCAAATTGACGGTATTCTGATTTTCAATGCCCACAACTCTAGGCACGTTTAGCCTAGGTAATTACCAGTCTCCAATCGCAAAGCGTCAGTTTAAATTTTTTCCCTCTGTACACGGACCGACGCCTTTCCTCCCCATCCCCACTTTAATAGTTAACAAATTCGATATTTCTTTAATAAATACTCCTTTTGATAGTTTAGTTCAGTGTACTCGAACAATAGTGCCAAGTCCAATACATGTGGTTTCATGACCAATCACGACCCACACCAAGGGACAAATTGTTTCTAAGGTTTGAAAAAATCGCGTGACTCTTGGACACACATACAAACTGTTTTGTACTAAGTGTGACGAGGTGGCCGAGTGGTTAAGGCGTTGGACTGCTAATCCAATGGGYTCTGCCCGCGTGGGTTCGAATCCCATTCTCGTCGATTCAGCTTTATAATTTTTGGGGAACTGCTTAGCTCCGGCCTTGAACCAACCCAAGGCCTTGAACGTACTCTAAGTTAAAGGTTTTCTTTGTGGTGAAATAAATGCCGGATTGAATCAATTATTTTTATAACTGCTAAAAAAAGTATGAAAGAGTTGCACGATAGTATGGACTAAATAAAAAAACTGAACCAGAGTAGTATTGTACTTTGCAGTGCGATGCCTGCTTGCATGACCACTCAGTAAAGCGAAACTCCATTCCAATAACCCAATAGTGTGATTAACTTTTATTACTAAGAATGTATAGCTGATACGCAAGCCATACCCACCAGCAATATGTATAGTATGTAGCATGCTATAGTGTTAATTGGAAGTGCTTTTGATCATTTTTCCTCGTAGACGGACTTGTTGGAGACGTTGTACCAAGTGACCTAATTCCGCAAAGGGCCTATTGTCTCGGTGCGCTGTACATTGTTATGGCCAGTGGATTGTCGCCTTGATTGTATAGTGTCTTTGGGGGGGGGGGGGGG